GGACCCAGTCCAGGAGTGGGGGAGGCAGAGGTAGGGGCCATCACTGTGCAGTGCATATGCCCCATTGATGGTCCCCAGCACCCTCTAAGAAGTGGAAGGTGCACTGGGCCCAGCAGGGGGCGTGCCCAGTGCTGCACAATCCAGGATGCCATTCTGTGGGAGGAGGCCCTTGCTAGTGCAGAGGTCAGAGGCATTTGGAGATGGGCAGGCACAGTGGGATTCTTGGGGGCACTGCCAGGGTTTGGGCTGTCGGCCCCTTCATTGCGCCAGCCCCCCTTGCTGCTGCGTGCGGCTTTGATGAATAAGAGATGAGGAAGCAGATTAATTATGGCTTAATATGCACCAAAGTTGGGCACAGGGACTCCTAGGGATGGGAGTCCTCGGGGTGCAGAGCTGATGGGGGAAGGCTAGGACACCCTCTGCAGCCCCAGGGTTGGGAGATGGTGAGATGCTTCTGGAGGAAGCAGAGGCTGTGGGCAAAGAGAAGGCTGAGAGCGGCTGACAGTATGTGGGTCCCCCTAGGCTCCCCAGACCTCCTTCTCCCGTCTGGAAATGGGTGGTCGTAGTGTCTACACTGCAGGACTGAATGGGATGACTCACTCAGCAGGCCTGGCACAGAGTCCTCTCAGGCCTTGGGCATGCAGCCGCCCTCCGTGGTGAGAGCAGATGGCAGGCCGGCGCCCCCCAGCTCCCTGGCACCAGGACCACATCTCCAGCCGCCCACTCGGAGTGCAGGGAAGGGTCGGTCACATTGGCACACTTGGGCAGCAGGCATGTGTTTGCCGCATGACCTTCGAGCTTTCTTCCTAGTCTCTCCTTGTGCTGGCCAGGAGTGGCCCGGCATGTGTGGAGCAAAGACCCAGCTTCCTTGCTGCCCCATCCCTCCGCATCTCTTGGAGGCACCAAGGCCCCGGATGTCTGTGCGGACCACACAGGCATGCCAACCAAAGCCATGGCACGCCTGTCTCTCCAGGCAGGAGATGAGCCTCCCCAAGCCCTGGGAAGCAGTGACCTTCCAAGGAGGCTGAATGGTGTCCCTGTCAGCCCAGGACCGGCCACCGCGAAAGGTCCCCTCAACTCAAGCTACCTTCTACGGGCAGGCCTGGAGTTTTGAGTTAAAACCCTGCATGATCCTCTCAGGGGACAGGAGTGGTGAACAAAGGAGAGATGGTGACCAGCTGACCACGCCCAGAGGCATTAGCATCTGCCTTAGGCATTAGCACATGCTGTGCCAAGCTCAGAGAGGCCAAGGGGCTGGGCCAAGGTCACACAGCGGGCAGGGCCCTTATGACTGGCACACTGGTCGTGGAGGCTGAGCCCAGGTTAGGGTGGGGGTAGGACCAGGGGGTAAGGCAGTCCCTGACCTCACTAGAGGGGGTGGGTGGGCTGGGCAAGCTAGCAAAGGACGTGCCCTACATGGTGGGTGTGGGGTGGGGAGGAATTCAGGCAGATGCTGTGTGGCCCTGCTGGCCCAGCCCAGGCAGGTTGTGACAGGTCTGCCTGGCCCTGAGGGCATAGCTGTCTGCAGTCTCCAGCTCACTCCTGATCCCCAGGGCCACATGTCCAGAAAGCCTGGGAGCTCGGATCAGCTGGGCACAGATGGCCTGTCCTCCCAGGACCCCTGCTGGGCCTTCCTAGGAACTGGTTGGTGTAGACTCTGGGCAGCAGACGGCCAGGCTCTGCCCACAGGGTCCCTGGCTCCTCCCACGAGGCCACTCCATAGAACTGGCTGTGCCCCTTGGCCAGGGGCTTCAGCCCCTGTCAAGCCCTCCCCACTGGCCCCTCACCAGCCATCAGCTGCCCTCCCTCCCTTGCCCGTTGGACCCTGAGGGGTGATGGCTCCACAGTCGCCTGCCCAGAGAGTGCACCACTCCCTCTGCTGCCCCCCACCTGGCTACACCCTGAAAAATGTGCCTTACCAAACCCTCCCCCATGCCCAGCCTGAGAAGTGAGCCATGCCTTGCTGTCAGCAGACAGACCAGCTGCCTAGCCCTGCACAACCCTGCCTCTGCATCCCCATAACTCCCTATCAGCGCTGGCCTGCACCTAGCCATCCCAGCCCAGCACCCAGGAGTGGGCTGAGCTTCCAGAGGGGAGGACGCTGGCCAAGGTGCTGACCAAGGTGTCAGACACGAGAAACCAGCAGGCCCTCCTCCCAGCCCTGCTCCTACCGCACAGACCTGTGAGGAGGTAGAGGCCCAAGTCCCAGCCCAGAGCGACCGGGAACAGCCAAGCTTGGTGACTGGAGAGGGTTCTGGGGCCAGAAGCCTCCAAGGCAGCCCTGGCTCCCCATTTCCTCCCATGCCCATCCCATGCCTCCAATGGTCACTTCAGCTGCTGCAAGAGGGGTGGGACAGGCTTTAAACCTATGAGAGAGGGGTGTGGCCACAATCTTCAGCTGTGGTGGGCCACTCTGGGTCACTGATAATTGAAGCGATGCCTGCGAAGTAAGCACAGAAGTGTCCTCTCAAGGCCCCTCTGCAAGCACAGAGCAGCCTCTGAGTGGAGCCTGGTCCACCCCAGCACTGTCCTCAGACTGATGGCCAGTGCCACATGACTTGTCTGCGGGTCTGATACATCCCTGTGGTGAGAGCTCAGTTCCTATTCCGGGGGCTGCTGTGTGCAGGGACCTTAGAGGAAGAATGCTTGTTTGGGGGTCAGGTCTCAGCCTCCCACTGGCTCTGTGAGCTTCGCCTGAGGTTCCCCATCTGTGCAATGGTGACGACGTCTTGATGTGTTTGTGGGAGGGCCTGCTGAGCCACTGCAGGGGCTGAGCCGGTGGCACTTGGCAGCCAGCACCCCCTGGAGAGGTTGCAGTGTGTGCACAGCCCACCCCTTCAGGAGGCCAAGGGGCAGAGTGGCTGGGGGTGTCTGGGCCCCATCTCACCTTCTGTGTGGCTGGGAATGGCATGCACTCCACAATGCCCTGGAAAGCCTAGGCTGTCACAAGGGTGACAGGGATAAAGCAGGCCAAGGTGTGATGACGGCCACAGAGTGGCAGCTAGAGGCGTGTGGGCAGTGCAGCCTCCACACCAGGCAGAGTGCTGCACATCATGGCTCCGCCCTGAGAAGCTGCCTGCCACTGGGCTCAGATGGGAGCACCGGGGCTCTGGGAGGTCCTCACTTACTCTGGACAAGGCAGACAGGCCAGCAGCCCTGGGCCCTGCTTATCTCCCTCAGGGCCACCTCCACCGCCAGGGGCAGGCAGAGAGCACAGGGCTGCCAGTCACCAGGGCTCGCTGCTTCATATCCGTGGATCTGGGCCCTGAGGGTGGTCATCAAAGTGTCACGCTGGCCCACTCTGTCCTTGAGTCAGGGTCCTACAGATGCCAGGTTGGCCTGCAAGACTGTCATCTGCATGTTCGTCTCATCCAGGGTGGGCTTGGGGAGGACTCAGCCCGGCCGAGCTGACACCCGGTGTTCCTCCAGGTGCAGGGTCAGCCTGACAGTTGTCTGAGGACCTCGGGATGCACTTAGGATCTCATCAGTGAGGCCCGGTGGGTGCCCTGAGCAGGAGACAGAGAAGGGACACCTGCACCCCTGTGTGTGTGCAGGGAGGTCACTGGGTTCTCTGGCCCCATGGCCACCCTGCAGGGGCTGGCTTGGTCGGAGTGGGGGGGGATACTAAGCAGGTGGCCTCAGAGAGCTCTTCTGGGTTTGGAGCCAGGCAGGAAGAGGTGGGGGACCCCTGCAGGGTTATGGGTAACATCAGGCCTGGGTCCCCTCCCTGGGATGGTGCAGAGAGGGCCACGAAGGCCGAGGAGGGCCCCTAGTACTGTCTTAAGCCTTGAGCCTATTTCTCACTGAAAAACGGGGGCGATCGTGCTCCAGCAGGGAGCTTCTGTGCAGGGGGCGGGGGACTCATGGGTTCCAGCCAGGAAGGGGCTGGATCAGGCAGAGGCCATCTCCAGGCCTCGGGACAAAGCCCTTGCCTGCTTGGGGACCGGGCCAACCTAGGCCGCCACACCCTCGGGCCCGCGCCCCCAGCCCGCTCCGGCCCGGGCCGCCAAACCCTCGGCCGCCTGCAGGGGCCGCCGCCTCTTCAGGAATGCGCCGTCTTTGTCTGGGGCCGTGCGGCGCCGGAGCACCGGGCGGGCTGAGCGCCCCCTGCGGCCCGGCCTGAACGCCCAGGCGGCCGCGCCGCCCACGCCTCCACCCCGGCCCGTGCCCCGCAGCCCCAGCCCGGCCCGCGCCCAGGTGAGCGCCCCGCCCGCCGCGAGGCCCCGCCCCGTCCCGCCCCCGCCCCGCCCCGGCCGGCTGAGGGACCGGGCGGATTCCTCGCGCGTCAAACCACCTGATCCCATAAAACATTCATCCTCCCGGCCCGCGCCGCGAGCGCCCCGCCAGTCCGCGCCGCCGCCGCCCTCGCCCTGCGCGCCCTGCGCGCCCGTGGCCGGAGCCCAGCCCGAGCCGGGCGGAGCGGAGCGCGCCGAGCCTCGTCCCGCGGCCGGGCCGGGGCCGGGCCGAAGCGGCGGCGCCTGGATGCGGACCCGGCCGCGGGGAGACGGGCGCCCGCCCCGAAGCGACTTTCGGTCCCCGACGCGCCCCGCCCGACCCCTACGATGAAGAGGGCGTCCTCAGGAGGTGAGTGTCCGTGCGGCGCCCGGGCCCGGCCGGCGGGGGGCGCGGAAGGGGGCGGCCCACCCCCTCCCCAGAGCCGCAGGGCCCGTCCCGGGCTGCCGAGGCGGGGGAAGCGTCGCCGGGCGGCCGGGAGGGCCACTGCAGTGCCGCGCCAGGCTGGGGCCGCGGGCGCCCCGGCCCCGGGAGGGCGGAGCCGGAGGCAGCAGGAAAAGTTGCTGCTTCCCGGGAAAGTTGATGGCGACGGCGGGGCCGGAGGTGGCGGTCCGGGGGTCCCCGACGCTGGGCCAGGTCCCGGGTGGGGACCGCGGGCTGCAAGGGCGGGGTCCAACCTCGGAGCGTCCTGGCCACGAAGGGGTTAACGATCGGGTTTTTTTTTTTTTTTTTTTTTTTTTTTTTTTTTTTTTTGCAGAAACGTGGGTACGAGGGTGGGTGGGGGTGTCGGCCGTCTCCGCCCCTGCCTCTCTGACTGGGTTCAGAACCTCCCGTGTCTCTGAGGTCAGGCCGCAGTGGGATGAATGGGGGCGTTGGCGGCAGTAGAGGGCGTGGGGGACAGGGTTGTCCCAGCACTTCCACAAGGGTGGGCAGTGAGAGGAGGCAGCTATGCCCCGCCATCTGCAGCCCGAGGGACATTGAGAAGTCAGCGGCGGTGGGGCAATCAGCAGCCCCTCCCTGGCAGTCCTTGTGGGACTCCTCCCCTCCACCGAGTATGAGGTCCCGCAGTGGGGGCAAAGGAGGGTGGGCTCCATGTGAGTTGGGCATGCCCTGCCTGGAGGGTGCTCCCCAGGTGCCCACCCAGGCTGCCCTGCTGATGTCCATGGTGCGGCAGGCTGCACACACGTTTCCTTGCACGTGCACGTGTCTACACGGACTGCACACTTGCACACCGCTGGTGCACATGCATGCCAACACCGCTCCAGTGTGCACATGCACAAACACTGGGTGCACACACGGACTCTGAAGGTGCATATCTGTCCTCGCCCTCGCCTGCACGCCCACGGCCACACATGCATGCACGCGGCATCCCTGCTGTGGTCTCCATGGGTGGCACATGCTGGGGCCCCTTTCGCAAGACCCACTCCCGCACCCACATGCCCATGTGTTCAGTGGGGTGGCCAGGCCCACCTGCCTGCCTCTGTGTCCTGGGGTTCTCCCCCTCGGTGTCTGTGTGTGCATGTGTGTAACTTGGTATGCGTCTGCACGTGTGTCTGTGCGCATGATCATGTGTGCCTGGGGCACATAGGCATATGTCTCTTTGCCTCCGGGGTGTGGGTACCCCTTGTATGCCTAGGTGGCTTGTGGCCTAATCTGGAGCAGAGGCCCTGGAACTTGTGTTGGGGGCCCGATGAATGCCCGAAGCCCAGGGTATGAGGGGCAGGGTCTCCCAGCCATTCCCCACCCACCAGGGCTGAGGCAGTGATAGGCAACAGAGGGCTGGAAACTGCCTGGGCAGGGAGGACCCATTTCAAGCCATGAGGTCACACTGTGGCCAAGAGTCCAGACCCTGGCTATGCTTGGTGGCCACTGCAACTTGGCTGACTGGAGCACATGGCCCAGTGTGACTGCAGAGATGCCCTGCCTCCAGTGCCTCAGTTTCTCCATGGTGAGGACCTTCTTGGTGAGGGGTTCTGTGGTGGGCTCCCCTGCCTCAGGTGTTGTGTAGGGTGCTGAGCAGGTGGACGCCGTGCTGCATGATGAGCAAGGGTGGCCCACTAGCACTGTGGCAGGGGCCCTGGGCTGGGGCTCGGAGTGTCTGGCCACACCTCCTGCTCCCCTGGCCACTACCAGTGGCTCATCTGTAGAGTGGGGACCAGCAGGTCATCCTTGTAGGTTGTGTGAGGGTGAAACATACCAGCAGAGGGGCGGCTGGAGCAGTGGGGCTGGCCAGTCTCTTATTCTAAGCCTCAGTCTTCCCATCTATAAAGGGGGTACTGTTCCCCGTGCTGCTCCATTGAGGCAAGGAGGAAGCCACTCCATGCTAGGGGTGGGAATGGGTGGCCAGCAGCACCTCGACCCCACCCGGCAGAGGGGCATGTGCAGGGCCTGCCAGGCAGAACCATGGCCTGGATTTGGGTCCTGGCTGAGCCACCTGCTGGCAGTGTGACCTCTGCCTCAGTCATCCTCACCTGCCACCTGGGTCCATGTCAGGGATTATCTGGCACTTCCAGGCTGAGGCCGGGTGGAGCTGGCCCAACTTTCCCCGTGGAGTTCTGACTGCAGTGCTCCTGCCCTCAGAATGCCCAGAACACTTACCCACACCCCCTCGAAGCAGAGTCCTCCTGGGACCTTTGCACTGCCAGCGGGGCCCCTCACCCCATCCATTTGCAGAAGGGTCAATAAAAGCCCCTAGTCAGGCACCTCAGGCCACAAGTGGGTGGAGGGGGGGACAAGGCAAGGATGCTGCCCAGCTTGGGAGACGCCCCCGCAGTCTCTTCACTCCCTCCCTGCCCTCCCCCTATTCCTCATCTGGGGGAGCTATGGAACCCCTGAACCTCAGTTTCCCTGTTCCAGGGTCCTTCCACTGGGACTGGCAGAAATGTAGGTTTGCATGGAGTGAGAAGCAGGGGAGAGGCTGAGGTAGGGCAGCCTGGCCCAGAGGGTCTCTGAAAGCCAGAGGGTTTGTGGAGGGTCTATGGAGGACACTCCCACAGGGGCTGGGGCCCTTGAAGGTGGGGGTAGGTCCTGCTGTCCTCGGAGGCTGGGGACTGGCCCACAGTACACGGAGGGGCTGGGATTTGTTTGCTGCTGCTGTGAGTGACAGGTGGGCTGAGAAGGCCAGGGCGTGTGGGATGGTGCCCGGCCCCTCCCTCTGCTCAGGGACAGTGCAGCTTGTCTCTGCCCCAGCCTTGAATTCATACTTTGTGGCTCGGACAGCCATGTGCAGCCGGTGCAGCACCAGGAGGGTCCAGCTGGTGAGGCCAGGACGGGCGGGAGGCAGAGGAGCCCTCCTGCTGTCCTGGGCCTCTGGCCCAGAACCTCTCCCTGGGAGCCTCAGTCTGTGCACCTGGGAAAGGGGTCAAGAGCAGGAAGCACAGGGGGAGTTCCAGGATGACCTGGAAATGAGCAGATGTGTGTGTGAGCCAGGAGCCCCGCCCGGCCCTGGCACAGGGTTAGTGAGAGCTCCCGACACTTGGTTACTGTCTGATCTATAAGGTTCATGCTGTCCCACCCCCATTCTGGTGAGGCCTGACCTCTGACCCCCACGCTGGCCTGCCTGACCCTCTGCAGCAACCCAGGGCATGGGCCTCGGGGTCCGCAGGAGCTGGCCTGGCCACCCACTGCCTCTGCAGCTGTGCAGATGCCTTCTCAGAGCCCTCTCTGTACCCCTCAGTGGCCCTGCTCTGCCGCCTGGCTGCACCCAGGCGAAGGTCACAGGCACTCTCCTCAAAACCAAATCCCAGATGATGCATTTGCCCCAACCATCCGTCCGCTTTCTCATCTGTTCATTCATTCATTCGTTCCTGGCCTGTCAGATTCTCATCTGAGCCAGGCAAATCAAGGGGTGTGATCCTTGGTGTCCTGTATCTCTAGAATTAATGCTTTAAAGGAGAGGAGGTCACAGAGTGGCCCAGGGAAGCCCGACCGGAGTGGTGGGCATGCTGTCCCACCCCGGAAATCTCCCTGCACTGTCCCTGGGGCCCAGTTGGGTCCCCCCACACCAGGTGTTCTGTGCTGCCGTTTCTTCTTTTATCACAGTATTTTAAACATTTTGCACATCGGGAACTATTCTTGTGCATCTGGGTTTACTGGTGTGTGTGGAATCCCTTCCTGAGAATGCACCATCTTTTATTTAGCCAAACCTGCACTGGCCCCTGCACTGCCTGCAGCCACGGAGCTGGGCACCCAGAGATGCAGTTCCTCACAGCCCTCCCCTCCAGGTCTGGGGCTGGTCACGTGCCCCTCCCCTGATACCCCTCCCCTGCCTCAGGCCAGATCCACCCCCGCCACCCCCCACCCCCCCACCCCTGCTCCTAGCCCACTGAGGACTTTGACAACCGTGGGCCAGCTGGGTGGGTGATGGGAGTGAATAGAGCCTGTTTCCGGCCGTCAGCTCTCTGGATGGCCATTGGTGCAGTGGTGCCTTGGGGCGGCATCTCCCCTGCTCTTTCACACAGCCTCTGGTCTTGCCCACTATGGCCTGTGGGGCCTCTTCTTTGGAGCAGCGGGGCATGGGGTGATGCTGGCAGTGTCCCGCAGCTGTGTCCTCTCTGATGGAGGCCGCCCATGGCAGCCAGACCCAGGAGGTGGAATAGAAACGCAGGAATGTTGGCGCATCTCAAGAGTGGCTTTAGGAGGGGCTGAGTGGGCACAGGCCAGGGTCCCCATGTAGGTCCACACAGGCCTGGAAGGCGGTGAGCCCCATTCAGGGCCCTGGCACGTGGAGCCGGGCTGATCTGGGAGTGGGTGTCAGGTGCCAGGCTCACTCAGAGCTGCCTGCCCTGGGCCCCCGGGTACCTCCTGGCTATGCAGTCAGCACCCTGGCCTTCTCAGCTGTCTGTCACGGGTCACAGTCCATGGAGCTGAAGTTCTTTGGAAGGTTGGTGGGTTTCACATAAAGGCTTTGTGGTCAAATGTGGGACCTGCCGGATTAGATGGTGCTGATGGCGCTCCTTTCCCACAGGGCGTCTTGGGCCCTTTTTTGCGGGGGCAGCGCCTTCTCTGAGAGGCACCCCTATGTGATGCACCTCCGGGCCTGGTGTGCCCAGGAACCCGTTTTGGGAAACAGTGATGGAGGTGCCTCCGAGGACCAGAGGAGGAGACCTGCGGGCCCCCAACAAGGGCCCCGGGATGGGCCCTGCCACACAATGCCCACACCCACGGGGCACCCAGTGGGTGGAGGGACCACTGCTTCTCCCAGCAGCTTGAGGCAATGTGCAAATTTAACCTTTGGATTTATGACTCTATTTCTTTGCAGCAAATGTCACGGGAAATGTCAGGCTGAGGCTGAGGCTGGGTGAGCGGCCCATCGAGGAAGGGGGTAGGGCTAGGCAGGCTGGAGTGTCAAGGAGGGGCTCAGGCCAGGGAGGACTCCAGGCCCCTCACCTCCTCCTGGGAGCCTTCCTGGATTGTTGCTTGCTTGCCTGGATCCCCAGCACCGTGTCCTCTGTTTGTCCCGGCTATCACGACCTTGTTGAGATGTTGCCTTTATTTGCCTTCTGCCAGGGCTCAGATGAGGCCAGCTTGGGGACATGCCAGAAGTCCCACTTGTGCAGTGCTGGCTTGCTGTGTGACCTTGGGCAGCTCCACCCTTCCTGGTCACCATAGGCCTCGTGGCCAGAGGTGGTGTTCCCAGCTCAGTGCCCTCAAGAGTAGGAAAACAAGTAGAGTCCTCAGTGTGTGGGCTGTGGGGCTCTGGGGGAAGTGGGTGGGGGCTGAGTGCAGGGCTGGGGTTGCAGAGGGCTGGCCCTTGGTGGTCCCAGGGCCTAGAGCAGGCCCTGCACACAGTAGGTGCTCAGTAAAGAGCAAAAGGCAGTGCGTGGATGTGGAAGGTGGAGGTAGATTCCAGCTGGGAGTCCACAGTCCCCAGTTACCTGCCCGCCTCCTCCACCGCATGCCAGATGTCATCATTCCAAGGCCCCAGCCTGACCTGTCACCAGCTCCGCCCTGTTACCAGCTCCGCCCTGCCTCCCAGGTCTGGGTGGGTCAGGGAATGGTGACTGTCCCCTGCCGCGTGCCAGGCCCGTGCACCGGCACAGGGACTCAGGCTCCCCAGTGCCCCAGCAGCTCGGCGTCTCTCCCACACACATGGGTTCCCCCATTGCAACCTGGGCGTCCACATCCAGCCTGTCTGCTAGTGTCACGTCCTCCGTACCCAGCATCCAAGCCCAGAATCCCAGCCTCTTCCCTCTACCTGTCCCTAAAGGCAAAATCAGTGTCAAACCTGCACCCCATCTCCTGGTCCATCCCCTTTACTCCTCACTGAGAGCCGGCCTCAGACCTGGCCTCCATCCCCAGCCTGTGGCCACGGCCAGTCCCCGCTCCCTGCCTGCCGTCTCATTCCCCACCCGGGTTCAAGTGCTTCCCTAAGGCATGTTTCCAGCCAGGTGCTGCCTGCCTAACCTCCCTCATGGCTGCCGCTAGATGAAACCTTGGGCCCTTCGTTCTCAGGGCCTGGGCTAGAGGGTCTCATGTAGGAACCTTCTTTTCCATACTTTCTGGGGAAGCCCTTGTCCCTAGATCCCAGTGCCTGGCACCTGTGCCTCCCCATCTCCACATCACCTGAGGAGCTCAGGCCTAGCTTGAGGGTGCAGAAAGCCATGAAGGGTGAGGCAGCACACTGGCAGGGAGGGAGGGCCCAGGTGCCAGTGAGGCGGAGCCTTTGCACCTTAGTGGGCAGTGCCTGGTGCCCATCTGTCCCTGGGAGGGCTCTGGGAGACCCCAGGGCTGGTGGCTCTTCAGGCTGGCTGTCAGGTACAGATCAGTTGGCCCAGAAGGCTGCACAGGGCCGCGCTCTTTCCCCAGGGGAGCCACCTGCCCTTTGAGCCTCTTTGCCTGCACGTGGCTGTTGTGAAGCTGGAGTGGTGGTCAGTGAGCACTGCCCACAGGCCTGGCCATAGTGGAAGCTTGATTTGGGCAAGCTGGAGGCTCCTGGTGGACCTGGCTCCAGGGATCCCTTGAGCATCCCCTTGTGGCATGGGCTCAACGAGCTGTGGCAATCGAGACTGATGACGGGAACTTGGGGCTTTCTGGGCAGGGGTGATGGGGCCTTTACCCCTGTCCTGCCCTTCGGGGGGTCCAGGCTGGACCCTGGCCGGCCCGTGTGGCCAGTGAGGATGGGCATATGGGCCCTGCTGTGCTGCCTGGAGCCGGAGCCTCTGCAGAATCCTGGGGGGTACAGAGAAGGAACTACTGTCTGGGGCTGCCCCTTCCCATCAATCCTTCTGCAATGAGGGTCCTTGTAGGATGTCCTGAGAGACACATTAGTTCATGCCAGGGGAGCCCAAGTGACAGTGGGGCTGAGGGAGAGGAGGCCTTGTACCTGCCTGGTTCTTAGGCAGAGTCCTTGGTGGTGTCAGGGCAGGGTGGGACTGAGCAGTGGGAGGGTGGCCACCTGTCTCCGGGCACGACCCCCACCCCAGAAGCCCCTTCCACCTACTTGGGAAACTCATTTGCCCATGCCTGGCCGGCTAGCAGCACAGCTGTGGAGGGAGGGCTGAGGAGCTGGCTCAAGGTCCAGCAGGAGGTGCCACGCTGGAGTTCCTGCCCCCACCTGCCTCCACACACGCCACCAGGAACCTGGGAATTGGCCCTGGCACCCCCTCCTTTGGGGAGTCCAGCCAAGTTCCCTCCCACACACTCTCCACTGGAGTCTCCGCTTCCCTCCCGGCTCTCCCTGGACATCCAGGCCCCATTTCAGGGAGCATGGAGCTGGCCAGTCACTGCCCTGCCCAGCCCCAGGGCCTCCTCAGGGCCTCCCAAGGGATGAGGCTGTGTGAGGTGGTACCCCATGAGCCTCCCAGGGCCAGTGAGACAGCAGCAGGGCTGCCATGGTTCCCTCAGCTGGGCACATCCCTTGCCCTACCCGCTGGGGCCATGGGGGGCTGTGGTGTGAGTATGGCCTGGCAGGTGAACCCCAAGTGTCCTTGGGGAGGGCCCTCCCCTCCTCATCCTTGGTTCAGTTTCCGGCACTGAGATGTACTCCCAGGAGACCCTGGGCCCATCCTCAATGCAGGGGAGGCCCCCAGGGTCACGTGCTTCTCCCTTCATTCTCTTAGCAAATTCTTCCTGGACTCACTTCCAAGACAGTCCTGTGCTGTGTGGCAGGGACCTCAAGATTCTTGACATGCTCTACCCGCAAGAGCCCCAGATTCCAGGGAGACACGTGGAAGCCCACAAGGTCCTTAGGAGTGTCAACAGGGTGGGGGTTGAGGACTCTGAGCCCCCCGCATTAAGTGCTCATAGAGGCCACACTGGCCCCAGGTCTGAAAGAGGAGCTGGAGCTGCTGGCCTGGGGGCTGGGGGGGCTCCAGTGTCCCCTAGCGGAAGCCAAGTGGCTGCAGGACAGCCCACCGCCCATGTGCGATGGTTGGGGGGCTCTGGTTTGGGGGAGGGTGGGTGAAGAACTTGTGGGTCTTGTGGGTCTGCAGGGGAGCGGAGGAAGGGTGGAGGCTGCAGTGGTAGATGGTGGGGCGAGCCCCCCTCAGCCCCAGCGGGAGGCTGCCTGCGGCTCTGGTGCTCCTGCGGCCTGACACGTGGCCCCTGCATACCCGGCCGAGTCCAGGCTGTCTTTCATCTCCCTGCCTCGGCCCCAATTTATGTCAGGCAGAGGCTGACACAAGGACAGGTGTGACAAGTGTCTGGCTTCCTATTCGAAAATTGGCAAAAGGAAAACTCTCCCATAAAGATATTCTATCTACATACCTCCTGGATGTCACCACGAGGACCCATCACAGCCGAGACAGATGGCGGCCCTAATGGACTCCATTCTTCACTAGCTGCCGGAGCGGAGGCTGGTCCCCTGGGGTGGCCTGAGGCAGATGATGGGTGGCAGGTGGGGCACCAACCTCCCTGCAAGCCCTCCCCTACACCCTGGCCTGCCCCCAACCCTGACCTGCCCACCAGGGCCTCTGTAACAGCCAGGGACTCCACGGGCAGGTGACCTGGACACCCGAGGCCCCAGTGGTTCAGCGCCTCCACCCTCCTGGCTGAGAAACAATGCACGCTGGACCCCAGGCTCGGCACATGTCAGGACCGCCCCTACTGCCCCTTCCTGGCCGAGGTATCACTTCCACCAGGAAGCCACCCCTACCACCTCACCTGAGGGTGCCGCTAGTGTCCCCTGCAGGCAGAGCACTCCAGGAGGCAGGGTACTCAGGATCCTCTGGCCCCCAGATCGCAGGGATCTTGATGTGGCAGAACGGTCTCCATCGCTGCCTCTGGGTATCAAGGTGATGAGGACCCTGGGGGCCAGGGGAGTCACAGGTTACTCTCCTGTGAATTGGGGAGAGGGAGGGGCTGCTGTCATGCACAACCCCTGTGGCTCACTTTCTGCCTGGGGGTCCACTGTGTTCATCATCCCCACTTGCATGGGGCTACCCCAGGCCCAGGGTGAGGTCAAGACCCACCCAGCTTGTCACTCATGCTCGCCAAGCTGGTGCCCCTCCCTGCCTGAGTACTCCATGCGCAGGAGTTTATGGGCCATTACCCGGCCGGGCTCCCATCCAGGTCTGAGGATGGACCCTTGGGGCAACACAGTGGTACGGACGAGGAAGGGATTAGGAAGGGGCCAGCCTCCTTAGGAGTGGCAGGGTGGGCCTGGGGGAGAAAAGGCCCCAGAGGGAGTGTGTCTGGGAACAGGGCAGGGCATTCTAGAGGGGGAGCTCCTTGAGCAAAGGCCAGCAGGGGTGATGGCTTTGGAGCAGCAGAGTCCCGGGTGGTGCTGGCTTCAGGCCGGGGGGTCAGGGCCAGGTAGGATGCCGGCAGAGCCCTTCCTAGCTGCAACTTGGCCTTGGAGCTGGGCTTTTCTTCTCTGTGGGGTGGGGATGGTGGTCCCTCCAGGGGTGATGTGAGAAGGTCCTCCAGGGAGAGGCCAGGTGTAGGCTGCCCCATTCTGGGTGGGTGGATCAGGCACTTCCTGTGTACCCACCATAAGCCGTGTGCCACCCCCGCCATGAGGTGGGCCTTGTTATCTCCATTTCCAGCTGAGGGAACCAGTTCTGAGAGGTTGGGGGGCCTGCCTGAGACCTCCCCAGGCAGAGCCAGGGCCCCAACCCCTGGCCTGTTTCCAGGACTGCCCTGCAGGGCTGATCACAATGCGCAGGGACCCCGGGACATGGGGGCTCATGGAGGGGGCTCCTACCACCTGCAAGACAGGCTCACCCACCCTTCCACCTGTCCCAGTGTCAGCATGAGACCAAACAGACAAACGAAAAACACCCTTGATTTTACGAGGTCATGTTCATTGTAGAAAATCTAGAAAAATACCCCGAAGATTTCAGAAAGAAGTTGTATCAGTCTGATCAGGCTGCCATGACAAATGCGATAGACAAGGTCTCCTAAACAACAGAAGCATATCTTCTGAGAGTTCTGGAAGCTGTAAGTCTGAGATAGCATGGCTGGTTCTGGGGGGGCTTCCCTTCCTGGCTTGCAGAGAGCCACCTTCTCACTGTGCCCTCACATGGTGGGGGAAGGAAGGGTGGAGAGACAGGAGGGCATGCATTTTCTGGGGTCTCTTTCTCTTCCAGGCCACAAATACCATGGTGAGGGCCCCAGCCTTGTGACCTTATCTAACCCTAATCATCTCCCAGAGGCCCCACTTCCTAATACCATCGCACTGGGGGTTTGGGCTTCAGCACGTGAACATGGGGGAGACGCAGACATTGTAAGATAATGAAAGCCATCTGTGGTGCCACTTAGAGATGGTGCCCTTGACACTAGGTACGGGAGCCATGCCCCCACCCCGGGAGCATCAGTGCTCATGCGCTGTGGGCCAAGGCTCTCTCCCAGGGAAGGACATCCTGGGGAATGCTGTCTCCAAGCTGCACAAAGTCTGCCACTTGCCCTTAGTGATGAGCATTTAGTGCATTTATGGAGCACCTCCTGTATATGGACCACCAGCCCCTGTGGAGCACAAACCCTAGGGTGCTTCAAGTGACAGAAGGGCCTGCTAAGCAGGCCATCGAGGTGTGGAGTGGAACCTGGCAGTGGGCAGAAGGTGGAGGAGCATCAAGGAGACCCTGGGAGCGGGTCCACGGAAGTGCCTCACCCAGACCCAGCCCTCCCATTTCTCAAACGAGGAACATAGCCAAAAGGCACAGGTGGTGCTTCAGCAGGGCCATGTGGCTGGGCCTGGGGATGACCGGGCCTCCAGGCGTGCTGCAGCCAAGATGGGGGTTGGAGAAGCAGCCAGTGGAGGAGTGGGCAGGGTGGGCAGGGCTTCCTGCAGGACTGGGCTGGGAGGGAGGCCCCAGCTGGCTGTGCCCCGTGGGCTGCAAGGTTTTAAATATGCACTAACAGAAGAGGTGTTGAGGCCTGGTCCGGGGGCTGCCCTGAACAGTCTGAGTCCCTGGACCCTTCCCTGTGAGGCAGGGGAAGGAAGGAAAGGGGATGGCGGCAGGTCTGTTGTGACAATTTTAGGAGAATGGTTTATGCCTTTGAAGGTTTGAGAAGCCACCGTTGGGTGGTCTGGGCAGGCCAGAAGACCAGCTGGGTTCTGGGGTGTCTTCTCTGGGATGAAAGGTCAGGCTGCCCAGTCTTTGGGGTTTCCATGGGGGGATGAGTGCTATGTGGCCTGTACATGGCCCCCTGACCCCTGATGACCCTGTGTGGCCTTGGGATTGGGGACCTCTCTGTGCCCTGGGCTCAGTGGAGTGAGCCCCAGATAGACATGCTGAGGCCGTGAGGCTGGACTGCCCGGCCTCCCTGAGGGCAACTGACCCCTTTCCACTGGCCCTGCCCAGTGGGGCGGTGCCTCAACCTCAGGAAGTAGCTGAAATATACTGACCTCATTTTGCAAGAGGCAGCGGCACCTGGGCCTCCCACCCTGGTGGGTGAGAAGCCGCCAGCAATTTCCATCCCAAATTGATTTCAAATAAGGAAGAATTATCACACACAATCATATAGGAATAATTTATCACTTGTTAATAAAAGAGCAAGTACTTATTCACGTTGCCGCTGCGTGCGTGCCTCAGTTTGGCTGCGGGGACACACTGGGGGCTCTCATAGCAGCTGAGAGAAGCCTGTGTGCATTCAGCCAAGGTCAGGAAGGAGGCCTAGGGCCGCCCACCCACCCCAATGCCAGGCGGCCCCTGCCAGGTGTTGACCATGCACCCCTACCCCCTGCTCCTGAGGGACCCTGGCCTGGAGTGGGGTCTTGGATCTGTGACAGGGAGGGGACGGGAGCAGGCAGGGGTAAGGGGAAGCCGGGAATGGGGCTTCATTGCAGGGTGAGGGCTGGGCAGGGTGGGCAGGCAGGAACTCTGAGGCTGGGTGAGGGGAGCAGCTGCCCGGCCTACAGGGCAGGCCCAAGCACAGAGCTGGATTTTTAAGCCAGAAGCTGCCCCTGCAGGTGTCTGGATTGCACAGTCTCTGGGACCAAGAGCCCATTGTGTCCTGGGAGACCCAGATGCCTCCTCAGCCACCCTCAGCTGAGCAGGGGACGGCAAAGCAGCCAGGATCCTCCCTGGCCAGATGCCAGCTGCCCCGGGGCTGTGTGTCCAAGTGCTCTGAGCTCTCACCGTCCCTGTCTTTTCCTGCACCTTGGAGATACCTGCTTCGAACCCACGTTTCCGCCTTCTGGAAGATACCCTTTCTTTTTTTCGTTTTATTTATCTCTGTTTTCTGAGATTTCAGTGCCAAATATGCAGTTGTTTTTAAAACAATAACATTCAGTCAACACTATATTGCACAGGGCTAGCGTCTGCACCCAGCCTCGGAGGCCGGTCTGGAGAATGGGCTCAGTCTGCCCCTGCCCCAGTCCTGGGAGGCAGCCGCTGGTGCCTGCTCCCTGGCTTTGCCAGCGGTTGCCATCACATTCCCACAGCTGCTACTCCGGCTCTGTCTCCTCGGCACACTCCCCAGCATGGCCGTCTCGCTGCCATCAGTCACATTCACAGCCAGTGTTTCCCGACCCAGGTCACGTAAATGATCTTCACAGTCCTGCCGTGGGGTAGGTGACCTTCCTCCTTCACGGCCTTTCGTTTTTCTTGGGGTTTACAGTCGACCCCTCTTCCCCCATCCACCCCCCTCAGGGCTTACTCCTCCCTACATCAGGCTTCTAATGGGGTCTCATTTTTTCCCTGGGTAAAGATTCACCCCAAGCACTTATCCTGCTGCCCCATAACATTTCCCTCCACCACCTGTTGAGGTTCCAGTTAATGCTTCCTGGATCCCACGTTTTCCTCTTTCTGGGTTTGCACCTCGTTTTGGCTGAAGCAGAAGCCTGACTAACTCTGAAGGAGATGCGGTGAATCATTCCAGAAGTCTTCCTGTGTTTACAAGCATGTTCAAGCTGGATTGTCTCAGTCCAGAATTCCATGTTGAAATTCGTTTCCCCTCAGAGCTATGAAGCTGTTGCAATTTTGTTTCCTGGCGTCTAGTGTGCTATGAAGAAGGCCAATGCCACATTGCATCTTCCTTTTTGCGTGTTTTTTTGGAGAGTCTCACTCTGTCGCCCAGGCTTGGAGTGCAGTGGCGTGATCATGGCTCACTGCAGCCCCAAACGTCTCAGCTCAAGCAGTCCTTCCCCCTCAGCCTCCCAGGTAGCTGGGATTACAGGCTTGCAGCATCATGCCCAGCTCATTTTTCAGTTTTTTTTTTTTTTTGTAGAGACAGGGTCTCACTGTGTTGCCCAGTCTGGTCCTAAACTCCTGGCCTTAAGCAGTTTTCCCACCTCAGCCTTCCAGAGTGCTCAGATCACTGGCATGCACCGCTGCACCAGGCTGCATGTGGCATCTTTGTGATCAGCGTCTCCTCCCGGAGCTTCAGGCCTCTCTTGCCCAGCCGAGGACTGGGTACTCAGCTTTGGGAAGTTTTCTGGTATGATTTCTTTGCTAACTTTTCTGTTTTTTGTTTTCTCTTCTGAAACTCCCCTTGGGTGTTCAGCCTGTATTTGTCTCCTGAACCTCATTCATTTTTTTTCTCCTCTTGTTTTGCTTTCTGGAAGATTTCTCTGACCTTGTTTTCCAACACTTGTATTGATTTTTTTTTTTAATTTTAGTGATTCTATTTTTCATTTCCAGACACTCTTTCCTTTTGCCTGCTGGCTCCTTGTTCATAGTACCCTGTTCTTGTTTTAAATCTCCTTCTGTGCCTAGGAAGACACACATTAGATGCTTCTTTTAATTTTTGTCTTTTTCCCTCACTGCCTGCTTGCTCTAGTGTCGTCTCTCCCACTTTTCTGCATTGATATGTACTCCACATGCCTGTTGGTTACTGGTCTTCTGGACACTTTTATGAGGGAGGCTGGTTGGCTGCTCTTTTGAGATGTGGCTTGTTTTCTGCCCATCAGCCCCAGGTGCTCCTGGGTGCCAGCAGTGGAACCCCTTTCTCTGGGTGTTTCTCCAGGGGAGCAGCCTGCCACTGTGCTCCCCACCCCTCACTCTTCCTCACCCTCATTTTAATGGGTCTCTGGAAGGAGGAGCACACGCCTCTCATGCACATCCCTGTGTCTAACACATGGTGGGTGAGCAGGGGAGGGGGACCATCAGTGCTGCCTGAGAAGCCACAGCAACTCAACTGAGCACAAGCCTGGTCTCTCGTGAGATGAATCGGGCTGCACGGGCCCCAGGCCTGTCCTCCAGCCTCCTTTCTCTTCTGAGGCTGAGAGAGCAGAAGCAGCGAGGAAGTGGCTCCAGGTGGGTTTGTAGCACAGCCTGGCTGTTGCCCCCTCCTCCAGTCCAGATGCAGCCAGACTCCTGCCTGCCACATCTCTGTGATAAAGCAGGGCTACTGCCAGGCCAGGCCAGAGTGGCCTTGCCAGACCACTGGAGCAGAGGGGTCCTTGTGGCTCTGAGACACTGTGAGCTGTGCCTTGCCTCCCTGCGATCCTCACCTGAGATAAGGCTGACCCAGGTCCGAATGGCAGGCCTCTGGGAAGGCAGGATGCTAGCCCTGAGGCCCAGGCCTGGGTGGGGGCTGGGCGGGATTTCTTTGGGGTCCTGGGGGGAGGTGGGTGCTGGCCTCTCATTGTCTTCACATCACTGGTGTGGGGACAGACTTGGAAGGGGCTGGCAGATTCTCCGCCTGCCTTGTGAGGGAATGTAGAGGCTGCATCTGAGCCCAGGGCTGCAAGACCCCAGGGTCCACCCTCAGCCATCCCTGGGGAAGGCAGCCTGGGCTGAGGTTGAGGTGCTGTGGGGGATTAGGGAGCCCAGAGTGGCTGCCCCTCCTTGCTGTGTCATCCCTGGGGCTCACGGTCTACGCTGGTCTCCTGGGGATGATAATGGTGATAAGAATATTGGTGATGAGGATGGGGGTGGGCAAGGATCTTGGAGCCCCGATTGCATGCACTGTCTCCTGGCCTCACAAGATGGCCAGCAAGGTGCTTGCCTCAGTGCCTCATCTGAGGAGTGGGTTTGACAGTCACCCCCTGACTCTACTATGGGAGGCTGCAGCACAAGGCTGTCATGAAACCTCTAGGAGTAAGGACAGGCTATACCTTGGGCTGTCCCAGGAGGCCAGGAGCCCTCATCCCTCACTCCCCCTCCCTTATCCTCTTCCCCTCCCCATCCTTGGTCCAGGGCCACCCAGTACTGTCCCACTGCTCACCTGGGGTTTCCTGTCCTTGTGTGAGGTCAGCCCCAGGCTGCCTGCATCTAAGGACCTTGCACAGAGCTTGTGTGATGGTGGTAATGATGATAGTGATGGTGATGAGGACAATGATGGTGATGAGGATGAGGATGGCGATGATGGCGACAAGGATGAGGATGGTGATGGTGATGGTGACGAGGATGGTGATGGTGACGAGGATGGTGATGGTGATGATGGTGACAAGGATGGGGATGATGATGATAGTGATGGTGACAAGGATAAGGATGGTGATGATGGTGACAAGGATGGGGATGGTGATGAGGATAACGATGGTGGTGATGAGGATGGTGATGGTGATGATAGTGATGAGGATGATGATGGTGACAAGGATGAGGAGGGTGATGATGGTGATGGTGATGAGGATAAGGGTGATGGTGATGATGGTGACAAGGATGGGGATGGTGATGATAGTGATGATGATAGTGATGGTGATGAGGATGGTGATGAGGATAGGATGTGGTTGATGAGGATGGTGATGGTGATGATAGTGATGAGGATGATGATGGTGACAAGGATGAGGAGGGTGATGATGGTGATGACAATGACAGTGATGGTGACGAGGATAAGGATGATGATAGTGATGGTGACGAGGATAAGGATGATGGTGATGAGGATGACAGTGATGGTGACGAGGATAAGGATGATGGTGATGAGGATGACAAGGATCAGGATGGTGATGGTGATGATGATGATAGTGACGGTGACAAGGATGAGGATGGTGATGATAGTGATGAGGACGATGATGGTGACAAGGGATGAGGAGGGTGATGGTGATGGTGACGAGGATGGTGATGGTGATGATGGTGACAAGGATGGGGATGGTGATGATAGTGATGATGACAGTGATGGTGATGAGGATGGTGATGAGGATAAGGATGGTGGTGATGAGGATGGTGATGGTGATGACAGTGATGAGGATGATGATGGTGACAAGGATGAGGAGGGTGATGATGGTGATGACAATGACAGTGATGATGACGAGGATAAGGATGATGATAGTGATGGTGACGAGGATAAGGATGATGGTGATGATGATGACAAGGGACGAGGAGGGTGATGATGATAGTGATGATAGTGATGGTGATGAGGACAAGGATGATGGTGATGATGGTGATGAGGATACGATGGTGATGTTGATGGTGATGATGAGGATGAGGATGATGATGGTGACAATGATAGTGATGGTGGTGATGGTTATGATAGTGGGTGGTGATGGTGATGAGGACGGTGATGATGGTGATGAGGATGGTGATGACAGTGATGGTGGTGATGGTGATGAGGATGGTGATAGTGATGGTGGTGATGGTGATGAGGATGGTGATGACAGTGATGGTGGTGATGGTGATGAGGACGGTGATGATGGTGATGAGGATGGTGATGACAGTGATGGTGGTGATGGTGATGAGGACGGTGATGATGGTGATGAGGATGGTGATGACAGTGATGATCGTGATGCTGATGATAGTGATGGTGATGAAGATGGTGATGACAGTGATGATGGTGATGGTGATGATAGTGATGGTGGTGATGGTGATAGTGATGGTGGTGATGGTGATGAGATGATGATGATAAGGATGGTGATGATAGTGATGGTGGTGATGGGGATGAGATGATGGTAATAAGGATGGTGATGATAGTGATGGTGGTGATGGTGATGAGGATGGTGACGATCTTGATAGTCATGGTGATACTGATGGTGACGGTGACAAGGATGGTGATAATGGTGATGAGATGATGATGATAAGGATGGTGATGATAGTGATGTGATGTTGGTGATGAGGATGGCGATGATGAGCATGTTTACAATGATGATAACAAGGACAGAAATGCCTCTGCAGCCTGCTTTTCCTTCACAACCTTGGCCATGGGTCTGCAGGAGCAGCCAGGTCTTAGGCCATGGAGGGTGCTCCAGGGCATCCTGTTTGCAAGCAGGGACTCCACTCCCTTTCCTCTTGTTTCCTGGACCAAGTGTTCTCATCTTTAATATTTCTTTGTTCTTAACTGTGAAGATCCTTGTAGCAGAGGCTGGAGTCCTGATGTCCTAGGAAGCACATCGACAGGTCCAGGTCACCTCCTTTAAGGCCCTGACCAGCCCAGGGAGGCAGCTTGATGTTAATGGGTCATAAGCCACCTCGGTGTGACCTGGCCAGAGTCCCTGGTACAGGGTACAGGGAGGGGCCTCGGCGCAACCTCTGCAGGGTTTCAGGGTGGATAGACTGGCGCTGGCCCTAGAGACCCCCTACTCAGTTAAACCACCGCCCTCCTCAAAACTACCTGCACTAGATCTGTCTCCTCTGAAGCGCCACCCGAGTCCTTTCCTCTCAAGCCGGACTGTGTCATCCAGCACGTCCTCTGCTGTCCCCTGCTGCTTACAGCCATTTTGCTCTGTGTGTGTCTGCGTGTGCGTGTAATCCCAGCTACTCAGGAGGCTGAGGTGTGAGCCACCCCTCCCAACTTCTTTGTGTTAAGTTGTCCTCTTTTATGCATGTTTGACTGTGAGCCTCTCGACAGCCTCTTTTGCAAAATGATGGTTTTTCTGTTGACCTGCAGAGTATTTCAGTACTTCTGAGTCTCCTTCTCACCTAGAACCCGTCACCCCAGGCCTCCGTGAGATGCTGACCTTGCAGAACTCAGCCTGCGCTGAGGTTGCTGGGCTCTGTTCACCTGGCTATGTGACTTCAGCAGGACCGTGGTCTTCTCTGACCCTTGGTTTCCTTTTCATTAGGTGGGGGTTTGAGTGAACTCTGCTGGGGCCATTGTGAGGGTGAAGGTGGCAGCACCCACACCGGCTTGCTCACAAACCAGGTCGGCAAACTGTTTCTGTGAACGGTGTGATACTAAATAATTCCAGCTTTGTGGGCCACTCAGTGTGTCATAACAACTCAGCTCTGCTGTTGTCGCGGGAAAGCAGCCATGGACAATGCGTGAACACATAGGTGTGGCTGGCTGCCAAGAACACATCCTTTACAGAAGCAGCAGCCAGCCCTTGGGCCAGTTTGCCAGGTGCCAGTAGAATAGGAGGCCTGAGGCCTGAGGCTCTGACAGGGGTTCCACTCTGGCCCCCGACTCAGGGCTCCAGTCTTGGCTGGGGCGATCCCAGTGGGAATGTCCCAGGCTGAGGATCCTCTGCTGCCTCTTGGACCCTTCATCCCCTGAGGAGCACTGGATCCCACTGGCCCTGCATGGCTGAGCCTCTCCGTGGTCTTAGCAGGCGCTGTTCATGTGTCGTGGGCCGGCCGCTGCCCCCAGCTCAGTTTCTAACGTGAAGGGCTGGGCAGTCCCTGGGTCGGCTCCAATGGGAGCCTCTCCAGCTGCTCTCCTGCTGACTGAGACTGATCTGAGGCTTCTGAGAATGAGCCGGCAAGAGCCTCAGGACCCACACGTGTCTTTCAACAGCAGAATAAATTCTGCTCGGGCAGAGGCCACTCGCCTGCCTGGTTGATCATGTTTTACAAGTGCCGAGGGCACAAGAACGCATGGGGATGTGCCCACCTATCTTCCTCCACTGCAGTGGTGGGCAGACCCACCAGCCGGGCCTTGGCTCCTGGGAGGGGCTCGCATCCCAGCGACCCTCTACTGCTCAGCAGACTCTGCCTGAGCCCTGACCAGCCCCGGGGGCTCTTACTGTGTGTTTCTGGTTTGCACGTCTATTGTGTGCACCCCAGGGTCCACTGCATGCACGGAGTCTGTGCTCCTGCCTTGTGCACCCTGAGCATGTGCTCTCATACTTCCTTCTACCCTGTCAAGGCCGACACTCTGGGCTCACAGGCAGTGGTCTGCATTGTGCATGCAGCAGATCCGGGGACCTGGGGCGGGTGTGGGAGGGCTGGGGCTTAGGTCTGGATGCTAGCTCATGGGAATGGACGTGGCCCTGCAGAGCTAGGCACCAGGTACTGGGCAGGGTCAGGTAGGCAGATGGGCATGGGTGGCAGGTGTGTGACAAGGTTGAGCCCAGGCCTGGCTCAAGGTGCATCCCGGGCTCAGGGTGCATCCCCAGGGTGGGGGCATGCCAGCCACTGGCCACTTCCTCATTAGCATCCTCTGGGGACTCAGCTTGCTCTGGCTGCTGGATTGAATTAGCTGTGGGACCAAGATGAGCCCTTGGTGGAGACAGGATTCTCCAGATAATTAGGCGGTGGTGTTTGTTGTCTCCTGATGGAGTGTGGAATAGCAGGGCGGGCTCTCGCCTCCTGTGGGGCAGTGGGGAGCGGGCTGAGTAGGGGTGGCTGAGCCTTTACTGCCCAGCAAGGCCTTTTAGTACCCCTGGGGCCATGAGGCTGGGAAGTCTGCTAGCCCTGGGGCTGTGGCTTCTCCTGCTTCACTTATTATTTGTCTGATAATATCTTTAATTACAAGATTTTGTGTACATTTAGGCACGTTTCATATAAGTGGCATATGACTCCATTTGACCTTTGGTTGTATCTGCTATGGATTTTTTTTTTTTTAGAGATGGGGTTTCAACATGTTGGCCAGGCTGGTCTTGAACTCCTGACCTCAGGTGATTCACCCACCTCGGCCTCCCAAAGTGCTAGGATTACAGGCATGAGCCACCGTGCCCGGCCTTGTTTGCTATTGATTATACCCATACCAGTTCTCTTTTTCTTTTTTTGAGACGGAGTTTTGCTCTTGTTACCCAGGCTGGAGTGCAATGGCGTGATCTCGGCTCACCGCAACCTCCGCCTCCTGGGTTCAGGCAGTTCTCCTGCCTCAGCCTCCTGAGTAGCTGGGAATACAGGCACGCGCCACCATGCCCAGCTAATTTTTTTGTATCTTTAGTAGAGACAGGGTTTTACCGTTGACCAGGATGGTCTCAATCTCTTGACCTCGTGATCCACCCACCTCGGCCTCCCAAAGTGCTGGGATTACAGGTGTGAGCCACCGCGCCTGGCCTCCCATACCAGTTCTCACGTTCCTCAACTTGACACCCCCTCCAAGATAATTGGCTGGACTGAAGGGCCCAGCCCTGGCCTAGCCTGCCGGCCCTGGGCCCACCCACATCCCGTTGTCTCGGTGAGCTCAGCATCATGGGGCAGGGACAAGCCCTGCTCTCCAGGGCAAGGCATGGAGCCGAGGGGGCTGAGGGAGCACCAGGCACACTCGGGAGGCCAGTTCTGAAGGCTCTGCTGACACTGGGTCTCAGTTTCCCCCACAGCATGTAGCTAAGTCCGGTGCCCTCTCACCAGGCAGGTGTCCTTGCTGGTTATTGACCTGGCCTGCCCACCCCACCACTGCAGCCAAGATCAATAAGGAGCAGGGACTGGGGCCAGGGCAGCAGGGGCTGGTGCCCACAGCCCCAGGAGATGCAGGGCCCCTCCATGGCTGACTGCCCCCACCAGGAGCTGCTGCCAGCCTCCTGCCCCCACACCCGGAGCCCCGGAAGGGCACAGGAAGCGCCATGGGAATGGAGCTGCCCCTGCACGTGTCTGGGGGCCTGAGGATGGACGGTGGGTGGGTGTGCATGTGAGAAGCAAGCGAGGATGGGGGACAGATGGATGGGGGGCGGGGGGAGTGAGTCAGTAGTGGAGGGCCAGGAGTGGGGAGCAGGCGTGGGAGGGGTTCCCTGACCCTCTGTGGTGTGGGGATGACACAGGCCTGCCACCCCCGCCCGGAGCTATTTCTGGCCTTGGTGCGCTGAGCTATGGCCTCTTGTTCTGCCTCATAACTGTTCTGTGACGTGACCGCCTCACGGGGACATGGCTGCTGTCCGAGAGGATCCTAAGCTGACTGATGTCCCGGCTGTGCTACAGCTGGCCCCATCCCTGGCCCCATCCCTGGGAAGCAGCAGCTCAGAGCCTCCCTGGAGATTCCCCTCCCAGCCACCCATGGCACAGGAGGGCGCTGCCCGCCTCTCCGCATGTGGCTGCAGCCCAGCCTCTCCATGGCCTCCCCCGTTACTAGCCAGGCCACCAGCCTCTGTGCTTGGGCAGGACACGCCTCGTGGCCCCTCCAGGCAGCACGGTGACTCCCTCCACTGGCTGCTCCTCCTGGGTAGTGTGGGGTGGGATCAGGCAGGGCTTAACCCCTCACTGTCTCAGTTTCTTAATCTGTAAATGTATTGCTGACTCACATCTTTTTATAGCAGATGATGGGACCCTCCGGTGATCCCAGCCCAGGGGTGGCATTGGGGCCCGAGGGTGCCAAGCTGCACATGGGTGAAAGCTGGTGCTCGGGGCCTCCCCAGCTGCCTGCCCTGTGCTGCCTCCTGGCCTCACTGGGCAGAGGCAGAAGCATCCCTGTGGGACCTCAGCTCAGGCTTGGCAGGGCATGGAGGTGGGTGGGGCTCCAGGAACAGTGGGGGCCAGGGATGACATGAAGAAGGCCATCCCTGCTCCTCTCAGCTCCCTGGGCTGCTGACCTCAGCAGCTGCTTGCCTGGAGCCTCCCACCGCCACTTCCCATCCCCCTTCTCTACCCCTCCCCTCTGCTCCTGCCCTCCTGGCCCTCCTCCCTCTGGCTCCTCCCACCTCCTCCTTTCTCTCTCCCTCCCTCCCTTCTCACCTGCTCCTGCAGTGAACATGAACAGCCCTCTGCTCACCGCAGCTGGTGGTGCAGGTGCCCACCTGGGCTGCTTGCCACTCCCGTCGGGGGGATGCATCCTGGACTGTTTGCTGCCTGGCCTCCTGGGCCTTCAGTCTGGTGGTCCTGGGTCCTGCCCTGCCCAGTCTCGCTGCTGCAGGGAGAGGCTCCGGTCGGTGTCCAGTCACTGTCCCCCCTGGGAAAGATCAGAGCCTTCCAGGCAGGACAGCCAGCCCTCCCCCCACTGTGGCTCCTGAGCCAGGCCTGGGTTGAAACAGGACCTCCCAGCCATGACCCAGCTCTGATAGCAGCAGGGCCATCCTCTGGGGGTGGGGGGGTCCCAGGAGGAGACCCTGGAGGAAAGGAGGGATGCAAACTGGCCTGGGATGGTGGGAGAGGCACAGAGGTACCAGTCCGTGTGCAGCTCGGGGGCCTTGCAGGTTTAGGTGGCCGCAGGGCCAGCGTGGGCGGGGGGACAGTGGACAGGCACACTGTGTGCAGTTTCTCTGGGAGAGCTGGGGCCATGGCAGGGCTGGTGGCTCAACCCACGTGCAGGGAGCAGGGCAGAGCGCATACTGGATGCTCCATGAGAACTGGGGCCAGGGTGAGAGTGGAAAGGGAGGTCAGGGAGGCAGGGAGGCCAGGCTGTCTCCAGAAGGACAGTAGAGTGTCCTGTTGGAGTCAGACGGGCAGGGAGAGGAGAGAAAGGTGGGCAAGATGGCCAGAGAGGCCTGGTGGCCTTGAGGCTGCAGAGCCCATGGTAACAGGTCAGGGGCCACGGGCCAGGGAGGTTTTTTGGGGTAGGGATGGGCTGCAGTCCAACATGGGGACGGGAGGAGGCTGGTGAGTCACCAGTCTGGCCCCTGGGGTGGGGTCAGAGGACGCCCTCCCACCGCCTGCCTGGGTCTCCCTCATCCCAGGGCCCTGGCTGTGAAGACAAACTCACACCACAAAGTTGGGTTTGATTATCTCATAAAAAGATGCCCCTTCCTGCTCGCTCAGCAGAGGGGTTGCCATGGAGACCAGCGGGCAGGCCCCAAGGGGGGCCGGGCTGGAGCCAATTACCGTGGCTGCAGTGAGAAGAGAGCCCACCTCACCCGACTCTCAGAACTTGGTTTACGAAAAGCAGTTGTCTCGGCAGGAACCGAGCTGTGTCTTTGCACCCGACATCCACTTCCTGGCAGAACTGAGTGCCACGTGGCCACTCCCCCACATCCTCCATTGTCCCCTCCCCCGCCCCGAAGTCCGCAACACCATGTGGCTCAGTCCTGACACTTGACTGGGGTGTGTTTAGAGTGGACACAGCGGCTTCGGGAGGGAGGAGATTCCTGAGCACAGGGCTCTGTTCCGGGGAGTGAGCTAAGCCCTGACCACAGCCGAACTCACAGCCCACAGCTTTGGGCCTGGAGCCACAGGACGGTGGTGATGTGGCGGGCTTGGTCACCATGCATGGCTAGTCTTTGGTGGGTGCAGTCAGTCGCATGGTATGGTCGGTGACAAGGCTCAGGTGGTGACCCCCACAGTCAGTGATGTGGTGTGGTCGGTAATGTGACAGAGTCACCCCCACAAGCACCTGGGGCCTCCACCCACCTGGCCCCTGGACAGGAAGTGCCATTTACATAGCACTGTTTCCCTCTGGTGACAGCAGGTGAGACACCAGTGGGGAGCTGGCATGGTCAGGCCCCACCTTCCCAAGAAGAGTGAATAGAAGGAGAGCGGAGGGGTGTCCGCCGTTTAAAGAGCGCCAGGGCTAAGTGCTTTCCTCACCCAGCCCACCTAGGGCGGGGCCTCCAGACCCCCATCCCTGGGCTGCCATCTCCTTGGTAGCCAATAAGTGGCCCTGGGGCAGGCATGGCACAGGAGGCCCCCAGGCTGTGGGGAGGAGGTCTCAGGACCTACGAGCCTGAGTCTGGGAGGATGCACATGACCGGTGCCCACTGAGTGTGCTGGGCTTGCTGGGCTCTGCACTGTCCGCCCAAGTTGAGAGTACCCAGTGAGACAGGGGCCCCAGGGTGGGTTGGAAGGCCCCGGGGTCACAGTTCTGGGTCAGGGAAGCTGGCTGTAGTCCGCTCCTTCCTCCTGCCTGGCTCCAACCACAGCACTTAGCCTCGTGTCTGCAGAATCCTGCTCAGGCAGCTGCTGAGGAAGGCGTTAGCCGTCAAGGCAGGTGTTAGCTGATAACTCAAGTGTTAGCTGATAAGCCATAACCCTCCCAGGGGATTCACATTTTAATAGACTCACTCCTGAAGGCGGAAAGAATCTTCAGCATTAGAAAGGGGTGGGGGCTCAATGGCAGAAGGAGAGGCAGGAAAGCTTATTCCGGGGTGATTGGCTCCGCTGGTGAGACCAGCTCTGGATGCGGCACCCCAGCAGGGGCTACTGCCCATGTAGGGCCTTGGGGAAGCCCCAGGTGTGTCTGACCCCACAGTGGAGTAGGGGGTATAGGCCCTGGGGGCTGAGGGGGGAACCTACTGGGAGGCTGTCCCTGCTGATGGCATCTGGGTGGGAGGGGTGCAGGCAGCTGGCACTGCAGGGGTTGGCTGGGGAGGAGATGGAGCAGAGAATGAGGCCAGGGGGCGGAGGCTGCAGGAGGGGTTCCTGCCAAGTTAGGAAGTGCTTAAAAGGAGGAAGTGTGGAGGAGGGAGCAGCCTGCCTGGGTGGCTGTGGGACGTGACTCCTCCTCCCGAGCCCTGGACACACTTGCCCTCTACCCCGGCCCTTGGGCATCCAGGCACTATCTCTGGAATAGCAGAGGTGCCCAGAGGGACCCCAGCCCCGCTGCAGTGTTTCCTAGGCCTTGTGGGTGGAACCTCCACTGGGCCCTGGAACTCCTACAGTGGGCTCTGTTTCACTGCAGTCTCGAGTGGAGACCTCCAAGTGAGTGCCCCTGGTGACCTGGCGGGCCGCTCCCGAGTATGTGAGCACTGGATGTGTGGTGTGGGGAGTCTGCAGATGTGGCTTCCCGGGGGAGTGTGTGGCTCCGAGCAGTGTTCTAGCCCATTGTTGTCCATGTGGCCTGTGAAGCGGGGATCCTAACATCCCAGTTCCCAGTGGTGGTGGCCACATCTCCGTCCCAGCCCCAGGACCTCCTGAGACCCAATCCCCAGGGCCACCTGGCTCCAGAACCTCCAGCTCCTCCAGTACCCCTGCCCTGCCTGCTAACCACCCTGTCCTCTGCCCATAGGGAGCCGGCTGCTGGCATGGGTGCTGTGGCTGCAGGCCTGGCGGGTGGCAGCCCCGTGCCCAGGTGCCTGTGTGTGCTACAATGAGCCCAAGGTGACAACGAGCTGCCCCCAGCAAGGCCTGCTGGCTGTGCCCGCGGGCATCCCGGCCACCAGCCAGCGCATCTTCCTGCACGGCAACCGCATCTCACATGTGCCAGCCGCCAGCTTCCGCGCCTGCCGCAACCTCACCATCCTGTGGCTGCACTCGAACGTGCTGGCCCGAATCGACGCAGCCGCCTTTGCCGGCCTAGCCCTGCTGGAGCAGCTGGACCTCAGCGACAACGCGCAGCTCCGGTCCGTGGACCCTGCCACGTTCCACGGCCTGGGCCGCCTGCACACGCTGCACCTGGACCGTTGCGGCCTGCAGGAGCTGGGCCTGGGCCTGTTCCGTGGCCTGGCTGCCCTGCAGTACCTCTACCTGCAGGACAACGCGCTGCAGGCACTGCCTGACGACACCTTCCGCGACCTGGGCAACCTCACGCACCTCTTCCTGCACGGCAACCGCATCTCCAGTGTGCCCGAGCGCGCCTTCCGCGGCCTGCACAGCCTCGACCGCCTCCTGCTGCACCAGAACCGCGTGGCCCACGTGCACCCACACGCCTTCCGTGACCTCGGCCGTCTCATGACGCTCTATCTGTTTGCCAACAATCTATCAGCGCTGCCCACTGAGGCCCTGGTGCCCCTGCGTGCCCTGCAGTACCTGAGGCTCAATGACAACCCCTGGGTGTGTGACTGCCGGGCACGCCCACTCTGGGGCTGGCTGCAGAAGTTCCGTGGCTCTTCCTCGGAAGTGCCCTGCACCCTACCCCAACGCCTGGCCGGCCGAGACCTCAAGCGCCTAGCTGCCAGTGACCTGGAGGGCTGCGCTGTGGCTGCCAGGCCCTACCACCCCATCTGGACTGGCCGGGCCACCAGCGAGGAGCCACTGGGGCTTCCCAAATGCTGCCAGCCAGACGCTGCCGACAAGGCCTCAGTGCTAGAGCCTGGGAGACCGGCCTCGGCAGGCAATGCGCTGAAGGGGCGCGTGCCGCCTGGTGACAGCCCGCCGGGCAACGGCTCCGGCCCACGGCACATCAACGACTCCCCCTTTGGGACTCTGCCTGGCTCTGCCGAGCCCCCGCTCACCGCAGTGCGGCCCGAGGGCTCCCAGCCACCCGGGTTTCCCACCTCAGGCCCTCGCCGGAGGCCAGGCTGTTCCCGCAAGAACCGCACCCGCAGCCACTGCCGTCTGGGCCAGGCAGGCAGCGGGGGCAGTGGGACTGGTGACTCGGAGGGCTCAGGTGCCCTGCCCAGCCTCGCCTGCAGCCTTGCCCCCCTGGGCCTGGCGCTGGTGCTGTGGACAGTGCTGGGGTCCTGCTGACCCCAGAGGACATGACAGCGTGCTCAGCAGCCAGGTGTGTGTACATACGGGGTCTCTCTCCACGCCGCCAGCCAGCCGGGCAGCCGACCTGTGGGGAGGCCAGGCCAGGCCCTCCCTGACGGATGCCTCCCTCCCGCCACCCCCACCTCCACCCCATCATGTTTACAGGGTTCGGTGGCAGCGTTTGTTCCAGAACGCCGCCCCCACCCAGATCGCGGTATATAGAGATACGCATTTTATTTTACTTGTGTAAAAATATCGGACGACGTGGAATAAAGAGCTCTTTTCCTAAGCAGTGGCTTCTCAGGCTAGGGTGCTGTGGGTGGTGAGAAGCAGGGGTGGGCACTGGACGGGCAGCCTCGCCCCAATCACAAGGCCCCAGAGGAAGAGGAGTTGCCTGGCACCACGGGCGGGGTAGCCTGGGCCAAGGGCAGCTCCAACGCCAGGTGCCCCTACCCCCCCAGCCTCACAGATGGAGTGCACTTGGTGGCTGACATCATTGAGTCTGGCTGACGGAGCACACACCAGGTCCATGGGTCTGGACATAGCAGCCTCTGTGGGGACATTTGCTCTGAGGTCCTCCACCCCAGTCAGCCCACCTGGGCAGCCCCCAGGAGGAGGCTGAGGATGAGGGACACTCCTCCTGCCGCTGGTGGGTGGCAGAAGAGGAAGGCCCTGAAGGAGAGTTGGACAGGTCAGGCCTAGCCTCAAGGCCCACTGGGGGTTCCATGCACCCTCACACCATGGCTGGTGGTCACACTAGATCCCACATGTGTGTGCCCAGGGCACCTCCACTTATACCATGCCCACACCCCAAACACAGGCCCTGGTGGTTCTGCATGTCCCTGCACCCATGTATGCATACACACATGCAAACACAGCATGGCAGGGAATATACGTGCACACACATGCACACAGCAGGGCAGGGAACACACATGCACACACATGCACACAGCAGGAAACACGTGCACACATATGCACACAGCAGGGCAGTGAACACACATGCACACAGCAGGGAACATGGACACATGCACACAGCAGGGAACACACGTGCACACACATGCACACACAGCAGGGAACACGCGTGCACATACGTGCATGCACCGTGAGCTCTCGAGCAGCCGGCATAGAGGCAGAAATATGCACAGGCACGCTTTCCCATGGCCTGGGCCGAAGAGGACTCGGAAACAAAAGGCAAGGGCTGCGTGGCCAGGAAGCCTTCCCAGGGAAGGGCCCCTCCCCACCAGGGCAGTGGCTGGGGATGGGGAGAGGGAGAAAAACAGGGACGTGGGGGAGGGTGTGGGGGAGCGTTGCTGGTGGAGCCAGATGGTCGTGGGGGCGGCCGGGGCTCCAGAAGCCTGGGGGGAGGAGAAGGAGGGAGAAGTGGGGAGGACGAGCAGCAGCCAAGGCCCCAGCTCCTCCGCCCGCTTCTCTGCGCCTGTGCTGCAGCCCAGGGGGGAGCTCAGACCCTCCCGTTGTGCCAGGGCAGAGACAGAATTCGGTGGGCCTGTCTGGACTGTACCCTCCTCAGGGTCCTCCCACATGCACTGTCTTTTCTTCCAGGAGACCCTGTGCCTCTGCCCACAGGTGCTGAGGCCCCCCATGCGGCTGCCCACACCTCCACCTGCAGTTTGCCCCTCTGCCTACCTGAGCCCCAGGGCTGGCAGCCTTACCTGGGGCTGGGGGTAGCTCAGGCAGGGCAGCCCTGCCAGGGTGGGATGCTGTTTGCCCAGGACTCCCTCTGCAGCCTCTCTAGGCCCAGGAGACCCTTGGCAGCCCCAGCAGAAGCCTCTCTGTGGACAGCCTGATGTCAAGAGGTTGCATGGTGTCTGCCCTGTGTCTGGAGCCCCACATCAGCACCCCTGTCACCCCCAGTCTCTGCAACCCCACAGCCAGGCCCAGGAGTCTGCCAGGCAGTGCCTGGGTTCTGGGTATGGGCAGGGATTTATTCATCCAGTTTTTCTCCCAAGTGGCCCCTGTCATGCCCGAGAAGATAGAGCCAAACTGCTGGATCTGGGGTAGGGCTCTCAGCTGAGGCTGGGAAACCAAAGTCACCCATTTGCAAAGAGCCTTGAGCCCCACCTGAGCGGCCCACCTGCAGTGGAGGCTGGTGGCCTCGGAGCTGCCTGGCTTGTGGAAGGGCAGCAGGTCCCGCCCTCAGCTTGCACCTCCAGGACGAGGAGCTTATTACCTCTGCTGGGCCTACTCCTCACCAAGAAGACAGCACCCGTCGCCCTCAGGCCACCATCGGGGCTGACTGTCACTACCAGCTGCCCTCAGGGCTCTGCAGCCTCCCTTCCAGGCCACAGTGGGGGCCTGTGCAGTGGCAGCGGTGGGGAGTGGGGCACAGTCCCACCAGACCTGAGGAAGGGGGTGAGAGGATCCAGAAGGAAGCGGACGAGTTTTAAGTCGGACTCGGCAGGATGCACGGACGCTTCCATGGGGTGGAGGCGGCGGGCGGGGCTCCCAGGCGTCCGCCCTGAGCAGCCGGCACGGGGCACCCGTCCCTGAGGTGGGGGCGCCGAGAGGAGCGGCCGCTTTGTCGAGGCCCAGGAGACATCTGGACGGGGGTGTCGCGTGGGCTGTGCAGGCTGAGCTCAGCAGAGGGGCCCGGCTGGAGGACACATTTGGGAGTCGTGAGCACTTGGGTGATATTTACAGCCCAGGAAGAGATGAGCTCACCGGCCGGCCGGTGACGAGGGGCTGGGAGGGGGCGGGGCGTTGGGCCAGGGCCCAGGGACTCAGCTCCTTCCTGCACCCACCCCGACACTCCCCAGCTCCGCCTGCCCAGCCCTGGCCCGCTGGGCCCCTGAGGTCGGGTGCTGGACAGGCAGGGGGTAGGGGTAGCAGTTGGCGTCCAGTCTCAGTCACCCAGACCCCAGAGCAGGTACAGAAAGCTAATTAAAGCAGCCGAGTGTGTCAAACCCCACCCTCCACGTACGAGCTGCTAGTCTGCCACAGACTCTCGTGGCCCCATCCAAAGACGCCCGGCCAGCCCCGGGCACCCTGTGGACCGAATCCTTCACAGCTCAAGGGCCCGTTCCTGCGTCCCAGGCCCAGCCGGGGCAGCACCACCCAGCACAACTGGTGGAGGCGACAACTCGGCTGGACTCACCATGGCTGCAGCCGTCCTGTGTGGCGGAAGTGGGGAGCAACCATCAGATGTTGGGTCCAGGCTGGGCTGCTCCGGGGACCCTCTCACCCGGGGGCTGAGCTGCTCCGGAGCTGCCTTGCACACCTGTCTGCCCGGCACTGCAAGGTTCGCCCTATCCTCAGAGGGGGCCGCCTGCCCCCTGTGTACCTGGCTGCCCGGGGCTTTGCACAGTAATTGGGAGAATTATTTTTTAAGCCTTAAATTAGTTCTGAAATAATAGAAGCCGAGGAATGTTCAGCAGCCGATGGTAAACTAACATCCGGTGAGACCGAGAACATGCCGGAAACAAGTTCAGAGGGAAGCATGTGTTTGTGTGTGGTGTGAGCGGGGTCCCCGGGGCTGGCCACTGCTGTGGCGGCAGGGGTGGGGGACTTCTCACCGCCAGGCTGCCTGCAGCTTGCACCCTCCCCAGGATGGGTGGGCACCTCACACTCATGTCCCCCTGGAAGACAATGTTCATGTCCTCAGAGCGCAGATGAGGCAAAGAGGCCCAGAGGCATCAAGCCTCGTGTCAGGCAGGACTGAACTCGAGGCCACTCGGGAGCAGACCCTTCGCTGCCCACTGTGGCTGTGGCCCCGA